CCCGCCCCTGTACCTTCCATCCATCTTGGATCGGTTTGAATAGAAGGCCAGACCACCCAGAGGAGGGTTACTTCGGTTCCAGTCTACAATCTCTACTAGGAATAACGACATCTACATCGTCAAAACTCAGAACTGGTGATATATAGTCGCTTAGTTTTACGCGTTGATCCAATGTCATATCTGGCTCGTTCAAGATACAACCATGCCCAAAGGTACAACTTCGCCAGAAGTTTCGTTCATGCAGCCTTAGAGCGCTACGCGCAACCTGACACTTAATGCTGAGGCCCAGAGGCTTAAAATTCCGCATTGCGTTCACAGCGGCTTGTGGCGTACTCCTCCTGGCTCCTGTAACTAAAATCGAGGCGGCTCTTTGTACCTTATCTAATTTACTGGATGTCGACTTGTGGCGCAGACAGTTCCACCACACAAGAGAACCATAGGATAGGATGGGCCTTACCACGGTGTTATACAACCAGTGTATAGTCGATGGTTTTAGCCCCCAGCTTTTTCCCACAGAGTTCTTGCATGCATAGAGTGCAATCAGCCCTCTCTTCGCCCGTTCCTCAGCGTTTCAATTCCATTGTAGTTCCAGGATTGTGCCGAGGTACTTTGCTTCGGGAGATAGATGAAGTTGCATTTCATCCAGTGTTTGTGGAGCTAAAACGCCGAGCTTACGCTTCCTGGTGAACATTACCAGTTCCGTCTTTGTTGGATTTACACCAAGACCGTTCGCCCTGACCCAACGCGACAGCGTCAGAAAGGCTCTTTGCATAAGAGCTTCGAGATTGTTGACGGAAATTTTCCGGAAATCAATATCACCACGTCGTCCGGTGTGCCTCTAGTTACCGTTTTCCTGATATTTTTGCATGCCCCACACTTAAACATTTTTATCTATCCAATACGTAAGGATATCAGGAATGCCAACTTCGTTAAGTAAGTGGTTTATGGATTCAATTTTAATGTTGTTAAAGGCTCCCTCTATATCTAGGAAGGCGGCCAGCGTAAAATTTGAATTTTTCATATTCCTCTCAATGTAACCTACCATCTCGTACAGTGCAGATTCTACAGACTTGCCATTTATGTATGCCTGTTGTGAGTTGAGCTAAGACAGGTGGTGTCTATACGACTCTTAATCTCCAGGTCGATCAGTCTTTCGAGAGTCTTGAGGAGAATGAATGAGAAGCTAATGGGTCTATAGTCCTTTGGTGCAGAGTGGCTTGGTTTCCCCACTTTGGGAATGTAAGTTCCATAGATCCTGAACATACGAGAGAGTCAAACACGTCGTATAGATCCTCTCAAGGATCAGATATATACTTGGCGAGGCAAATTGAAGCATCGCCGATATGATTCCATCTTCTGGTCCTGGCGATTTATACGGTTTGAATGTATTGACTGCCCGTATCGTATCTTATTTCTGTTAACCACCTTGCCAATGAGAACCAAATCTAGAGTCACAAGAGGCTGAGGGTCATCACGTTCACCGCCGATGGTAACCATATCTTTGCAACCTGGGAATTGAGTCTCAGCTAGGAGATTAAGAGTCTCAGAACCAGAGTCCATCCACGCTCCATCCTGCTTCTTGATACTTCCGATGGACTTCGGATCCTTGGATAGTAATCTTCGGAACCTTGCAGCGTCGTTGACTACTTCTATCGTTGACTCACAGAAATGTATCCAAGACTTTTTCTTTGCCCGTGTGAAACTAGCTTTGTAGGAGTTCCAATCAATATCGAGTTCATATCAATAGACCTTGAACAAATATTTTTAAAAAATCCGCACCTACTAATAGACTTTGGAAAAATATTTTTAATAAATCTACGGCCTAAGGTAGAGTATAAAAACATTTTTAATTATTCGTGGTTCCTAAAAAAATATTTTTTCCATCTGCCATTTATTATTCATACCCCTAATATTGCTGTAAAAAAACCAAACAGCAGCATCATATCAATTTTTCTGTGAACCCAAAAGCACAAGACAATAAAGGAAATACAAAAAAAAGAAATCAAATAAAGAAAAATAATACAAAAAAAAATCTCAAGATTTGAGTCTAGTTTCAATTTGACACTTGTCATAAAATCATTGAAAACTCGGTGAAGCGAACCGCACCGAATCGAACCAACCAAACAAATAAAAAAATCAAATTCGAATCTAGAAAAAAATGATTAATTTTTTCAAATTACTTCTAATCGTCGGATTATTTGTAAAGCAATTGAGTGGTTATGTTGTTATAGATACCACCCAATCGATGATCGATGATGAAGGTCGTAATGATGTTACCGAAACACTGGGCGAAGGAGATACCAGCACCTTGGGCTATATTGGAAAAATTGTAAAACCTTCCGAGATAAAAGAACCTGAAAATCTACAAGAAATAATCAATTTCATTGGCAGTGATAAGCTGAGCGGGAATGCCGAAACTATGCCAGACGTGACCGACCCCAAAGCAGAAGAAGAAGGTGGTGAAGATACACTGACCTATACAGAGCTAATGAAATATTTGGCCCTATGGCAATTGGAACATGAACAGAATTTCTATAAAATGCAGCAACCTGAAAATGTTACGAAAATCCACTGAGGGAGCGGGCTAATTACCAAGAAGAAGAGGAAGAAGAAGAGGGAATCCGAACATTTGTATTTAATATTAATTAAATTGTTTTAAGATTCATTTGTCGGTAGTATTAATGCCAAAAACAACAACAACAAATAAAACAACTGATAAGAGTTCTATGGACGGAGGGGAAGGGGAGGGGAAGTAGGTGAGAGGCGGAATTGTTTACCAAGTGCTTATTATATTTTTTAAATACAAATAAAATATACAGAAATTCATTAAACCAAATTTTTTGGTGGAAGATGGTGTATTTATTTGGTTGGGGTACAGGGTGAACCGTAATGTACCATAATAAATTTTTAAAACCAAAAAAAAAAAAATATATATTTAAAAACTTTTCTCTGCACTTCGTGGAAACCTTGGGGATCTTCGGATACCCCGTGGACCAAAATTGAAGAAAATCTGTCCCTGGCTGACAGGACTCTAAACGCTATCCGCGATAGTCTAGAGGAGCAAATTAAGGAACTCTTCGACCAGTTAGATACGCTTCCGGAGGAACTGCTACTGAATCTGACCCTAACTGATGATGATGAGCTGGATTCCACGGTGATCCCAGCCAAGTCTACACAGGGGCATTGCTGTAGTATTAACAAAGGACCCTGTTGACCGACCAACATCAAGTCTGACTACAACAGGTTCTGTGTCGGCACCTGCCGACAGTAAACTTCAGAGGCAATCTGCGACGGAGGCGATGTCCGACGATGGGGAATCTGTCGAGACCCCAGCAACGGTCAACGGATCAAAAGTTGGGAAGGCCCGAGAAGTAGCTGATGCGAAACATTACAAACGTGATGTTTGGTATCTCCGCAAATTCGTGGGGCGAGAAGCGAATTTGATTTCGGAGAGGGAGGTACACCTCATCAACGGTAAGATGAAATACGTAAGGAAGTTCGAAAGAATCTATCTGCACTCTCTCCATCGCGAACTCGAGATGGACAGGATCTCCCTCCCGAATCCTACTGCTCGCATAATAGTGGTAGAATCGGCGAAGGCCACTGTCTCTGACAAGGGGTGCACCTCATCAAGGGCAAAATGAGATACGTAAGGAAGTTAAAAAGAATCTATCCGCACGCTCTCCATCGCGAACTTGAGATGGACAGGATCTCCCTCCCGAATCCTACTGCTCGCATAATAGTGGTAGAATCGGCGAAGACCACTGTCTCTGACAGGGGGTGCTAAGACGAATTCTGACCTGTAGCTCAGCTCGAAGCCGAACCCTAGTGAAAAAGCACAGGAAAAGGCTATTGAGACTGCTAAGCCGACTTCAGACCTGAAGCCCAGCTCGAAGCCGAACCCTAGTGAAAAGACACAAGAAAAGGCTATTGAAATCATCCCGAAGCAAAATGTCACGTACAAGGGTGATGAACGTGTGGAGGGATCTGTCTCAAAGCCCGATTCTACGCCTAGCGATAAATGTAGAGCTAAAGTTTTGGGTGAATCCACTAATGATCGAAATAGGAAGAATGGAAAGTCAGGCAAGGAACCATCGTCTCCTGGGAGATCAAATGTCGCCCCCACAGAGCAAATCTGTGAAGCGCATCCGCTCTTCAGAAGGTCCGCAACCTTCACATAAGAAGTCGATGACTTCTCGTCTGGCAGACCCTTTTACCTCATATGCGGCTGTGGCTGGACAACAAAGGGCGGAGAAACAGCCTAGTACAGAGAAGGCATAAACCTCCTCGGGAAAGGCATCCTATCCTATGGTTCTCTTGTGTGGTGGAACTGTCAGCGCCACAAGTAGACATCCAGTAAATTAGATAAGGTACAAAGAGCCGCCTCGATTTTAGTTACAGGAGCCAGAAGTACGCTACAAACCGCTCTGAACGCAATGGTGAATTTTAGGCCCTGGGCCTCAGCATTAAGTGTCAGGCCGCGCGTAACGCCCTAAGGCTGCATGAACAAAACCTCTGGCGAAGTTGTACCTTTGGGCATGGTCGTATCTTGAACGAGCCTGGTATGACATTGGACCAACGCGTAAAACTAAGTGACTATATATCACTAGTCCTGAAACTTGACGATGTGTAGATGTCGTTATAGAGTAGAACTTTGTGGGGTTCTTCGACGAAAGAACCGCCTCTGAAAATTGGCACAACGAGCCTAGGTGCAACGTGTCAAGATCCATTTGGCTGACTCTGTCTACCAAAAGGCTAGGCCTTGAGTTAACCTACAAGCTGGATTGCAACTGTCGTGTTTTCCAAGCTGAAATCTTTGCGATTTGGAAGGCAGCGGGATTGATAAAAAGTGACGCCACATACCCATACCTAACCTAACCTATTGGTAACCCATAAAAAATATATTTAAAAAATCCACGCCTAAAGGGTAGGAAAATTTTATTTAATACGTAGAAAAAAATTTAACCTAAAAAATACTTTATTGTTCGGATTTTCCTTCTTCATTCGGAACATTTTTGTGTGGAGTTATTTTGTTGTTGATGCTGCGGCGGCGTATGATCATGCTCCTCCATGCTGCCTTTACCACTGCTTGTAGAACTTTTTCGACTTGCATTCAACTCTTCATGCTTCCCCTCCTCCTGCCGATGAGTAGGTCCATTATCCTCCTCAATTTCATTTAATTCCGTAGATCTCGTATAAGTTTTAGTTAAATTATTACCCGTCGACGCCGTCGTCGAATCCTCTTCCACAAAGCTTGGCGTCCTCGAAGAATTTCCACCAATTTCCGAACTGGCTGTGACCACAACCAAGGGCATTTGTTTTTGTCGTATCCTCTTGGCAATGGGCGGCACAAAGAGATCATATTTTACAAGGGTCCTTGATGTGTCCGTATAGATTTGGTTGTTGTTGGCCCATTGCAGCTTTTCAAATAGCCATGAACAGATCCAACCAACGATCAGGGTAATGAAGAAACCCAATACGGCATACCACATATAAGAGATGCGATAGAGATAGAAGTAATCGGAGTCTTCTTTGGGGGCCACCTCCTCCGCTTTGCCGAGATTGTAAAACACCTCACCAATGTGGGTGGTATTAAATAGGGCGTTATTGGGGCAGCCATCAGTTTCGAGAGGTAGACTTTTAATCGGTGGCCTTGGTTGCCCGAAACCAATCCAAAATGAAAACGCCAAGCTGAGGGCCAAACCCGCCAAAGCACCCCTTTGATTGGCTCTGGGGAAATACATGCCCAAGGTGAAGAGCCCCAGCAGAGGACCACCAATTATGCCAAAAATGGATAAGGCTGCCTGGAGTAGACCTCCCATTGACCCGGCCAAGAAGGCCAAACCCAAACACACACCACCATAAATTATGGACAACAACTTCGAATAGAAAGTGGTTCGGGCATCACTTAGCTCCTCTCCTCCCTTGCGATAGCTAACCAGGGGTTTGATGTAATCCTCCAAGGTGACAGCAGCCAGAGATGATATTGCCGAGGATATGGTGGACAAGCTGGCAGAAAACATACCCGATACAAAGAGCCCGGAAATTCCTGGTATCTGGCCCATGGTGTCCACCACAAAGAGGGGCATCAATTGGTCGCGGGATGTTATTCTACCCTCCAGCAAAGGATCACAGGATTTGTAGTACCAATAGATACACAAGCCGCTAAAACAGGTGGAGATACTGAGCAACATCAAAATTGGTAAACTCCACCATAAAGCCGTTGCGGATTTCTTCAAGGTGCTCACCGAAAGCAGCCTCTGCACCTGGGTCTGATTGACACCATAAATGGCCAAATAGGTTGCCATGCCACCAAACAGTTGTGTAATAAAACTATGCCTTGTCGTCGGATCCACACTGAAATTGAAGAACTCCAGGCGACCACCTTCACGGGCTGTTTCCCATATCTCGCCAAATCCTTCCGCTTTTATCGCAGCCCATATGATGATGGCGAAGATGGAGGCAAACATTAGCAACGATTGGAATATATCGGTTACCAGGACAGCTTTCATGCCACCCAATGTCGCATAGAAGGTACACACCACACCCACAATAATAACGGAGAAGACTAAATTCAGCCCGGTCACCGCTTCCAGGGCCAAGGCAGGGGCATACAACACAATGCCCATATAGAGAATCATTTGCAGCGAGAATGCCAAGGAGGCACACAGCCGGGTGGCATAACCAAATCTCAATTCCAAATATTCATAAACACTGGCCGTTTTCAGGCGATAGAAAACGGGCAGGATCAAATAGGCAGCAATCGGGGTGGCAATCACATAGGAAAAATTGATGATGACAAATTGGGTGCCATATTGATAATTCTCGGCGGATACACCCAGCAAGGTGACGGCCGACATAAAACTAGCCATTAAACTAAAGGCCACTGGGGTCACAGACATGGAACGATCGGCCAAAAGATATTCTCGGGTGGTTTTCTGCTTGCCTCCAGTGAAACGATAATAGATACCAATGCCAGCCGATACGGCAAGGACAATGGCCAAAATGGTATAATCCCATACTCCAAATTGGGACATTTTTTTTTGGTTTTTTTTTCTGCTTCAAAGGCTGGAAATTTGAGGTTCTGCAGGGATTTTTGTTTAACTTCTTTTCTTTCTTTCCAGTATTTTCAATACTTAATTGATCATTGTTGTTCTTGTTGTTGTTTCTATATGAGAAAAATTCATTATTAATTCCAAAACTGATTTTTTTTAAATTCGATACCACAACAATATTTTGCCATATAAGTCGGATAAAATCGAAAAAAATTACAAGATTTTGCCAAGGATTTTTTTTCAATACCAAAATTTGCTTCAATATTTTTAGGTATTTATACCATAGCCAGAGGTTACTTTTGCTTGGATAACCATAGTAAAATTGGATGGAGAACATGCCCTCCATTGATACCGAACCGCTACAAGGACGTTGAGAGGGAAATTTTTGCCCCGAGACTAAATAACCTTTAAAATTAAAAAAATCTGAATTTGTTTACATATACAAATTCGAAGCGATATTTTTTAAGGAAATACTATAGATACAAATTTCATTTGTTCCAAGACCCATAGTAAAATTTAATGGAGAACGTGTCCTCCATTGATACCGAATCGCTACAAGAATGCTAAGTGGGAAAAATTAATAATTTTATATACCCAAATTCGAACCTATATTTATTGGGCAAATATTATAGATACAGATTTTATTTGTTCTGAGAGCCATGGTGAAATTCGATGGAGAACATGTTCTCTATTGACACCAAACCGCTACAAAAACGCTAAGTGCGAAATTTTGGCCCCTAGGAAAAATAACCTTTAAAATAAAAAAAATTGAATTTTTGTACATATACAAATTCGAAGCGAGATTTTTCTGAGATTTATTACAGATACCGATTTCTTTTGTTTCGAGACCCATAATAAAATTCGATGGAGAACATGTCCTCCATTGATACCGAACCGCTGCAAGGACGTTGAGAGGAAAATTTTTGCCCCGAGACTAAATAACCTTTAAAATGAAATTTTTTTAATATATTCAAATTCGAAACGATATTTTTCTGGTACCTATTACAGATACCGATTTCTTTTGTTTGGAGACCCATAGTGAAATATGATGAAGAAAAATTTCTCTATTGATACCGAACCCCTACAAGGATGCTAAGTGGGAAATTTTGCCCCCAAGACTAAAAAACCTTTAAAATAAAAAAAAATCGAATTTTTTCACATATTCAAATATTAACCGATATCATTTGGGGAAATATTATAGATACCAATGTCTTTTGTTTGGAGACCCATAGTGAAATTCTATGGAGAACATGTCCTCCATTGATACCGAACTGCTACAAGGACGTTGAGAGCAAAATTTTGGCATCTAGACAAAATATCCTTTAAAATTAAAAAAAAACCAAATTTGAATCGATATTTTTCTGGTACCTATTACAGATACCGATTTCTTTTGTTTGGAGACCCATAATAGAATTTGATGAGGAACATTTCCGTCATTGACAACAAACCGCTCATTGAAAGCTTTAAGGGAGAAAATGACTTAAACTCAAAGTAGAACTAAAATTTTGGCTAAAATATCGAACCTTTAATTTATGACCGATTTTTGGGGACATAAATTGCTTCTACATATTTCTTGTGGTCGGTGGCCCATAATGGAATGGAATGGAATTTGATGAGGAACATTTCCGTCATTGAGACCAACCAGCTACTAGGAAGCCCTATGGGAGAAATTGGCTCTGAATCAAAATATATAAAAAAAAAAAATAAAAATTACTGCTAACCTCAAATTATAACCGATTTTATAAGGACATACATTGGTTCTAGAGATATTTTCTGGTCCTTGACCCATAATGAAATTTGGTGGAGAATATCTCCGCCATTGAGACCAAACCGCTAATTGGAGGATATATCGCCACCAAATCAAAAATATACAAAAATCACACAGATAAATTATAACCTTAAATCAAATCGATTTTGTAAGGACATCCATTGACTCTAGAAATTTCTTGTGGTCCGTGGACTGTAGTAAAATTTGATGGAGAATATTTCCTACATTAAGACCAAACCGCTATTTGAATGTCTAGTGGCAGAAAATGGCATTAATTCAAAATAGAACAAAAATTGTAGCAAAAAAAAAATTATAACCTCAAATTAAAACAGATTTTATGGGGACATCCATTGACTCTAGAAATTTCTTGTGGTTGGTAACCTATAGTGAAATTTGATGGAGAATATTTCTTTCATTGACAAAAAACCTCTAGCGGATAGGGTTGGGGGGAAATGTTTTCCAAACCCCAGAGAATTATTTTTTTTTTTCAAAATGCCTTTGGCAAAATCTTGGTAATTATCTATTTCAAAACATGACTGATCATGTTTTTATTGAAATTTTTTATATAGCAAAATATGAATAAATATTAAAGAAAATCGAAAAAATCTAATAATATTCAAAGAAATTTTTTTAAATATTTTACAATTTTTTTATACATTTAATATTTTTTTTATATATTTTATAATTTTTTTTATATATTTTATAATTTTTTTATATATATATTTTTTTAAATATTTTACAATTTTTTTATACATTTAATATTTTTTTTTTTAATATTATTTTTATATATTTTCTTTAATTATATTTTCAAGTCTGTTACTACCTTGTCAAAACGTCACACATTTAATCGGCAGGATTATCTTGGATATCTGCTGCTCAATATTATTATTGATTGGGCTTCTTCAGATTATTATTGGGAGATATAGCATGTTTGTGCATGTTATAGTCAATTATTATTTATTGTTGTTGTTCATATAGTAGATAAGATTAAATATAATTTGCAATATTTAGTATGCGTATAATTGAATCAAGTGATTGTTGAAATGGGAAACCCGTGAAGAGGATAATTTGGATAAGTGGAAAATCCGCAATTATTGGGAATATTGAATTATCAGGAATATATGGAAATAAGAATAATCGGAAATGATTTTCAATTTTTAGTTATTATAGAGATTTCTATTGACTTTTGATCTTCTCAAGATATGGAGATGTGATAAGAAGTTTGTTTTCTGCCTTTCCGCCAGATTGTTATTGGCCCACTAAGATAAGTGGGAGTCATAAATTGTTAACAATTTGTTTATGTTTTTGGAATGGCCATGAAAATATACTTCCGCCTGTGGGTTGTTACCATCTGGCTTGAGAGAGAGCAAACCGGTAATTTGAAGCCATGTGGGGAAAAAATTACCAAAAAAATCTAACCTCAAATTTATAAACGAATTTTAAAAGGACTTATATTAGTTCTACATATTTCTTGTGTTCCGCGGCCCATAATGCAATTTAGTGGAGAACATTTCCGCCATTGAGACCAACCAGCTACTATAAAGCCTTATGGGAGAAATTGGCTCTGAGTCAAAATATAAAAAAAAAATAAAAATTACTGCTAAACTCAATTTATCACCGATTTTATAAGGACACTCATTGGTTCTAGAGATTTCTTCTGGTCGGTGACCCATAATGAAATATAGTGGAGAACATTTCAGCCATTGAGACCAAACCGCTAATTGAAGGCCCCGTTGGAAAAATTAGCACCAACTTAAAAATATATTAAAATCACACAAATAAATTCTAACCTGAAATTATAACCGATTTTATAGGCATATATATTGGGACTACAGGTTTCTTCTGGTCGGTGACCTATAATGAAATTTGATGAGGAACATTTCCGCCATTGAGACCAACCAGCTACTAGGAACCCTTATGGGAGAAAATGGCTTTGGCTTTTTATTTTAACAAAAACATTGCAATAAAAAAAATCTAACCTCAATATATAACCGAATTTATAAGGACATCTATTGGTTTCAGAGATTTCTTCTGGTCGGTGACCTATAATGGAATTTGATGTAGAATATTTCCTTCATTGATAGCTACTCCCCATATGGAGGTATTGAGGGAGTAATTAACTTCTTTTCAACAAAAATTTTTCAAAAATGACCCATAAAATGCTAACCTCAAAATTTTATTGGGATATATATTTTAGGTCCACAGGTTTCTTATGGTCGGCGACCCATTCTGGAATTTGATGAAGAACATTTCCTCCATTAAGAACAAACCGCTAATTCGAAAAATTAGCACCAACTAAAAATATATGAAAATCACACAAATTAAATCTAACCTCAAACTTTAACCAATTTTATAGGCATATATATTAGGTCCACACGTTTCTTATGGTCCGTGACCAATTATGGAATTTGATGGAGAACATTTTCTCCATTGAGACCAAATCGCTATTTGGAATCCAAGTGGGAAAAAATGGCTTAGATTCAAAATAGAAAAAAAAATGCGGAAAAAAAATTCTAACCTTAAAATATACCAGATTTTATAGCGATATCTATTAGGTCCACAGGTTTCTTGTGGCCGGTGACCTATAATGGAATTTGATGGAGAACATTTCCTCCATTGACACCAACCGGCTATATGGAAGCATTGTTTTGGAAATTGGCCTCAAAAGAAATGAACCAAATATAATCTGTCGATATAAGAAATCTCCATATTAGGGGGGAAAATATTTTTTTTTTAATTAATTTCACTAATTATTTTATTAAAAAAATGTTATTATTTATTTGGATTGTTTTTTCCATTAGCCTCAACAGTTTTTTTTTATTATAAATCAACAAATTTTTTTCATACATTTTTTCGCTCACTATTTTTTTTTTTAATTTTTTTTCGATTTTCTTTAAATATTTGTTGTTGTGGTTGTTTTTATAATCTCAATATATGATAATCACCTTTTTAGTTAAACGTTTTTTAGATGAATGATTTGGGGTGGTGGTTGACGGCGAACTATTTATTTAAAACTTTATTTTTTTCCGATATTCAACTCTTTTTTATCTTCACAATAGGCGTCAAGGTAATATAAACTTGGCTGACGGAGTCCGTCGATCAGACATTAATCCAGCAGCAGTCGGTACCAGCCAGTACTGCACATATACAATCGTCGATTATACAATTGTCGCGGTAAAACAAAACGAAAACAAATAGTTCTGAGAATAATAACCGATTATTTAGGGTAGAGCAATAAGTGATTGTTTATGATCCTCCCGAAAACCCCACACACACACGCTTTTCTTCGACTCTCCAGCAAATAATAATAAGAAAAAAACTAGATTAAATATAGATTTCTAATTCGATTTAGATAACAAGATTTATAATTGTTTTTTTTTTTATTGTTAAGTGTCTGGTCAGATTTTCCGATTTTTTTTTTTTTTTTTTTTTGCCAAAACAAATCAAAGGAATTTTGCTTGGTATCACACCACCCCAGACGTAGAAAGTAGATATTGGCTGTTGCTGCTTCGACTTCCTATTTCAACCAGTTACAATCGACAAATGCATCGAATGGTTGTACGTTGTTCATGTTTCGTTTTGTCGATTGAATTGAGATAAAGAATAAATTGTAGATTATTTTTTTAAGATAATAACAAACTATGAGATTAACGGAAATTGAGAATACAAAAAAATATAATGAGAGAACAACAACAATAATAATGGCAATATAGACTTACAATTTTCTTTAAATAAATTCTAACCTCTAATTAAACCCGATTTTATAAGGACATAAATTGGTTGTAGAGATTTCTTTTGGTCGGTGACCCATAATGGAATTTGATGGAGAATATTTCCGCCATTGATACCAAAGGGCTAAGTGGAAGCCATATAGGGAAAAACCCTTTAACTCAAAATAAATCAAAAACATTTGAGCAAAAATCTAACCTCAAATTATAACCGATTTTATAGGGATATATATTGGGTCCAGAGATTTCTTTTGGTCGGTGAACCATAATGGATTTTGATGAAGAATATTTCCGCCATCGAGACCAAACCGCTAATTGAAATCCATGTTTGAGAAAAAGCCCTTGGCTCAAAATAGAACAAAAAAAAATTAGCAAAAAAAATGCTAACCTCAGCTTATAACCGATTTTATAGGGATATACATTGGGTCCAGAGATTTCTTTTGGTCGATGACCCATAATGGAATTTGATGAAGAACATTTCAGCCATTGAGACCAACCCGATATTAGAAAGTCCTGTGGTTGAAAATAGCTTTGACTCAAAATAGAACAAAAAATGCTAGCAAAAAAAATCTAACCTCAAATTATAACCGATTATATAGGGATATATATTGGGTCCAGAGATTTCTTTTGGTCGGTGACCCATAATGGAATTTGATGAGGAATATTTCTGCCATTGAGACCAAAGCGCTAATTAGAACTTATGTTTTAGAAAAACCCCTTAAATAAAAATAGATAAAATTGTAGCAAAAAAATCTAACCTCAAATTATAACCGATTTTTATAAATATGTAGCTGACACAGCAGTGTATTAAAAAAAAAGATACACCGAGAGAGAGCTAAAGATAAAGACACAGGTCTTGAAAAAAATCCACACGCAATATGCTATGCAAATATAAACAACTGGCAAGCAGACAGCCAGGCTGAAAGACAAAATTCTCAAAACTCAAGGAAATATGCCGCCACATATTATTTGCCGACAACAACGAAGATTCGCATAGCAAAACCAATATTTTAATAATAAATAGAGAAGTTTCGAATAATTGAGAACAGTCTCAAGTTTGAAAATGATTATAGAGGTATTACAAGAAATTCTATTCTCTCTCTCTCTCTCTGCCAATTTGCTCTATTAAAAATAAAGTTAATAATTTCTATTATGTATTGTCTTCAAGTCCCCCCCACCAACATCCTCTTCTCCTCCTTCCACCTGTTTTAGGTGGTCTCCTTTTTTTTTGCCAATCTATTCCATTATTACATTGCAGTTTGTTATCATTTGTTTAAATGTTTTGTTGCATTTTGTTTTTAATTATATTTGCATCTGTTAAATGTCGTTAATAAATATTGCTATTTATTTGAGGTGTTTGTAGGAGGAGGTGGTGGAGGAAGGGAGGTAGGTAGGTGGGGTTGTAAAATATAAAAACAAGAAATATTGCCGACAACAAAATTTTGTTTACATTTAGATTAAATAAAATTGTAAAATTTTTAGAACTGGCTGTGGATGATATATACAGACAATGTAGTAAATTAAACGAGATAAATGTCTTACGGGTGATTTTTTTTTTAAATATTTTTCTCAGCCCCAACATTAGGCGTGGATTTTTTAAAAATTCCAAGCCAAGTGCGTGAAAATAGCTTAACTTAAAATATACAAAAATAAAAAAAGTAAATAAATCTAACCACAAATTTTAACCGATTTTATAGGAATATATATATGGGGTCCAGAGATTTCTTTTGGTCGGTGACCCATAATGAAATTTGATGGAGAATATTTCCTCCATTGAGACCAACCCGATATTATAAAGGCCTGAGGGTGAAATGGCTATGAATGGAAAAAATACAAAATTGTTTGCAAAAAAAAAGCTAACTTAAAACTATAACCGATTTTATAGAGGTCCAGAGATTTCTTCTGGTCGGTGACCAATAATGGAATTTAATGGAAAATATTTCCGCCATTGAAACCAACCTGATATTATAAAGCCCTGTGGTTGAAAATGGCTTTGACATAAAATAGATAAAACAATTTTGGCAAAAAAGCTAACCTCAAAATATACACGATTTTATAAGGACATACATCGGTTCTAGATATTTCTTCTGGTCGGTGACCCATACTGGAATTTGATGGAGAATATTTCCGCCATTGAGACCAAACCGCTAATTAGAACCCATGTTTGAGAAAAAGCCTTTGACTCAAAATAAATCAAAAAATCTTTCAGCAAAAAAAAAAATCTAACCTCCAATTATAATCGATTTTATAGGGACATACATTGATTCTAGAGATTTCTTTTGGTCGGTGACCCATAATGGAATTTGATGAAGAATATTTCCGCCATTGTGACTAAACCGCTAATTGAGTGTCCTGTTTGAAAAATTACCGCTTTTTAGGCGTGGAGAAGACCTCATTAGTCTGTTTATTAGATAAATGGTACCCTGACCTTAGAATTCTTGCTGTGAGGGCACATTTTAAAAATAATTAAATTTGGACAAGGACATGCGGAGACGTCATGCTGATCATATCCTTTGTCATACAAAAAAATGCCGCCAAAAAATGTCTTCAGAACAACACATGGAAATTCTAGAAATTTTCTATACGATGAGGAAATCCGTTTTGGAATTTTTTTCTATAGGGCCTTTGGCGGGAATGGCATTCTTTACGTTCGTTGTTTTTATTGTTGTTGTAGAAGCCTTATTGCTTTTACACAATTGACTGAGATGACAGACGTTGGCCAGGTAAGACTCGGTTCGTTTCCGATCATAGACCTCCCTGTCGTGGAAATTCATAAATTTCGTTGTTGCTGTTGTTGTAGCATTTCATAAAAAAATTGATTGTTGTAACAGCCACTAAACGAGTTGGACTCCGGTAAATTTATATATTGAAATGTAGCAGATTTTAGTTGTTGTAGTTTCGTTTGGTATAGATTTCGCTGAGTTGACAATCCCTGGCCGAGTCGAACTGGGGTCGTTCTGGAGCGTAGATCCGATTGTCGTCGGAATAGATTTTAGTTGTTGTAGTTGCTTTTGAGGTCCAAAATTGAGTAAGTTTCAGGAACTTTGAAATTCCTTCGTTAAGAAATTGATATTTTCAGCAGTTTTCCTACCTATTCTTTAATTTTGTTTTTCAAATTTATTTACATTTTCTAGCAACAACTGGAATTGCTTTTTCCAGAGGACAATTTTCCAATTCCCGAATATTGTCTTTCCCCTACATACTATCTTAGAATTAAATAAAGTTTTTGGAATCCCTCATGGCCCTTTGGGCTAGGTTCTCGTTTATGAAATAAATTGAATTGAATAAATAATTTAAAAAAAAATCCATTTTCGACTCACCGTTACTTGATACCATCCAAACTGACTGATACCCAATTTACGGCCCTTGCCAAATTTGCCTTTGGGTATGGGTGAACCTTTGCGTCGGGGGCCTTGTGAACGATCTTCATACTAGAAAAAAACACATATTTCAATATTTCACTTCAAAACCCTGAAGACGTAATAAAAAATTGTTGATTCCTACATTTAAATTGGTAACCAAACCATCCATATCCTCATCATCCTCCAAACGGGAACGCAGGGCCAACTCATTGACACGACCCTTAATGCCGCCCTTACTCTGCAAGGCTGAGGGCTTAAAACTAACCCTTCGTGTGGTATTGCGCTCCTTTTTGCGGCCATCATTACCGCGATCATCGTGATCTAAAAACAATAATATTGAAAAAAAATTGATAAAAATTGTTTACACCACTTCGCAGCAGGTATTTCGCAATGTCTTGCTTGTCTCATCATCAACAAATAAATACCCACCATTTTGATAGTCGTTCAGTGCTGCATATCGTGAACCACCACCTTGTCCACTATTGTAATTTGGACGCTGGCCACCGCGGGGTTTGGGCATATTTAATTACTGGAATCTTTTATTTATATATTATAGGGAATTATTTTCAATATTTTTGCTTTATTTTTTATAAAAATGTCTCCAAAAACACGCACGAACGAAATTAACTTTGTTAAAACAATGCAAAAAAATCTCTGTCTCTTCTTCTTCCTCTTGTAGTCTTTTCGTTCGTCGTTGGTGCAGTGTAAAAGCGCGTGTGTGTGCGTTGTTGTTGTTTTTGTGTGTGTGTAAGCAGAAGATGTCAAAAACAAGAGTGTTTGTCAACAGGGTTGTTATTTTAGGTTATCACAGTTCAGGGTTGCATCTGTGAGAAATAATGGCAGTGTTGCCATACATATCATGACATGTGAACCCCCACTAAAAGTCCTTATGATGCAAAGAAAGTTAATTTAAAGGTCGTTTACATTAGACCGGATTTGGTTAACGTAGTGGGTTTAAATTTTCAATTTCTTTGAATATATGCCAAATAAATCCTCATAAAGTAGGTTAACCCGGTAAAAAGTTCTAATGTTAATGCCGTATTAAATGAAAATAAAAAAGGATATTTCGCACAATTTATTATGAAATTTATTTTCTTTTTTTTTAAGAGATATAGAATTTGGTATTTGTTTTTTATTTGAGAAAATAGTTAGGAAGGAGTTTCAGCGAAAATTATATAAATATTTTTATATGAAAAAAAGCGAGATGTAATTCGAGGTAGTTTTTAGAAATATAATAAATAATATTGGTAGGATTTTTTTATTCCAAATCAACTGCAGTTTAAAAGACGTGGAGTTTTTAAAAAAGATTCTCTAAAAGCACCAACTGGTTAAAAATCGTGTAATATTTTAAAAATATTTTGTAGAAGTTTCGTAGTTCCATTGACATACTATTTAATTGGTTTTTATTTTTTTCAGTATTTTATGATTAATAAGCTGTTTAATAGGTTATTTAAAGAAGATCAGCTGTTTATTAGGCGTGGATTTTTCTTTAAAGATGATCAGCTGTTTAATATGCGTGGATTTTCTTTAAAGATGATCAGTTGTCTAATAGGCGTGGATTTTTCTTTAAAGAAGATCAGCTGTTTAATAGGCGTGGATTTTTCTTTAAAGATGATCAGTTGTCTAATAGGCGTGGATTTTTCTTTAAAGAAGATCAGCTGTTTAATATGCGTGGATTTTTCTTTAAAGAAGATCAGCTGTTTAATAGGCGTGTATTTTTCTTTAAAGAAGAACAGCTGTCTAATAGGCGTGGATTTTTCTTTAAAGAAGATCACCTGTTTAATAGGCGTGGATTTTTCTTTAAGGAAGATCAGCTGTTTAATAGGCGTGGATTTTTCTTTAAAGAAGATCAGCTGTCAAATAATCGTGGATTTTTCTTTAAAGAATATCAGCTGTTTAATCGGCGTGGATTTTTCGCTAAAGAAGATCAGGTGTATAACAGGCGTGGATTTTTCTTTAAAGAAGATCAGATGTTTAATAGGCGTGGATTTTTCTCTAAAGAAGATCAGCTGTCTAATAGGCGTGGATTTTTCTTTAAAGAAGATCAGATGTTTAATAGGCGTGGATTTTTCTTTAAAGAAGATCAGTTGTCTAATAGGCGTGGATTTTTCTTTAAAGAAGATCAGGTGTATAACAGGCGTGGATTTTTCTTTAAAGAAGATCAGCTGTTTAATAGGCGTGGATTTTTCTTTAAAGATGATCAGTTGTCTAATAGGCGTGGATTTTTCTTTAAAGAAGATCAGCTGTTTAATAGGCGTGGATTTTTCTTTAAAGATGATCAGCTGTTTATTAGGCGTGGATTTTTCTTTAAAATGATCAGCTGTCTAATAGGCGTGGATTTTTCTTTAAAAAAGATCAGCTGTTCAATAGGCGTGGATTTTTCTTTAAAGAAGATCAGCTGTCTAATAGGCGTGGATTTAAGGACTTTTTTACAGTATCAGCTGATCTCACAGTATCAGAATATTTTCTAATGGATCAGCTTAGTATCAGATACGGATTTTTTAAGAATATTTTCTAATGGATCAGCTTAGTATCAGATACGAATTTTTTAAGAATATTTTCTAATGGATCAGCTGATTTCTAGGCATGAATATTTTTAAAAAGATATTCTAAGGGATCAGCTGAATTCTAGACATGGATTTTTTAAGAATATCTTCTATGGGATCAACTGAGTATCAGGCATCGATTTTTAAATAATATTTTCTATGGGATCAGCTGATTTTTAGGAATGGATTAAAAAAAAATATTCTGTTAGGTATCAGCTGATTTCCAAATAGAGGATTTTTTAAGAAAATGTTCTAAGGGATGAGCTGATCACCAGTTGTGGATTTTTAAGAATATTTTCTGAAGAATAATCTGATTACAATTCGTGATTTTTTAATCATATTTTCTAAGGAAGCAGCTGACTTCTAGCCATGAATTTTTAAAGAATATTTTCTAAGGGATCAGCTGATTTTTGGCATGGACACTAAGGGATCAGCTGATCACAAGGCTAAGACTTTTAGGAACATTTTGTAGGGCACCTTGGCGAGGATTTTTTAAGAATACTTTAAGAAATTCTGCCTTGAATTTTTCCACAATATTTCCTAGAGCATAAGGAGGAGATTTTAAAAAGAATATTTTCTGAAAAAACAGTTGTAAAGTTCGCGTGGATATTATGCAAAAAAATTTCTAGAGCATCCCCTTTTTACTAGGCGTAAATCTTTTATGAGCATTTTCTGAATAAATCGCCATAGAAGGCCAGATTATATTCTTAATGAAGCCCTAAGAGACTTCCTAAACAAGCCCAAAGAGATCTTCCTGTTGGAGTATCAATGGGTCTTACAGAAAATCGCAACTTCTACTTATGGAAGACGAAATGGTCTTTTAAAGAAGTGGTCAAAAAATCTCCTTATAGAAGGCCTTTCTAGGATGTGCCAAAGGGTCTTCCTTTAGAAAATTTGAACCTCTCCTAATAGAGTTCGATTAGTTCCCATCAACCCTTTGTGTTGGACCCAGGGTGCTATTTAATTAAAATGATATATTACAATTGTTTTTATTGTTGTTGTTTTAATTTTTTGTAATTAATCGACCATTATTCGCCGGAATGTGTCCGTCTGTCTGTTTGTCACTCACACGTCATTTGTTAACACTTCGACAATTAATACGTGTATTTAATTGGCAATAACAATACAATTGATTGTTTGTTGTTGGTCTTGAACCAAGCCTTATTTTTTAAAATAAAAAATTGATTAATTAGCGCCAGCTAGAAAAAATTCCTTTTATTAATTAAAAAAAAATTAACAAATTATTTAAATATTCTCATTTCATTCTAACTTCTTTCTCTCATTTGCTCTCTCTTTGACAAGATGTTGATAAGGCCATTGACAGCTGATTTTGCATGGCGGCATGTGAGCCGCTCTAATTTGTAAACATCAACCCAGGGTTTGTGTGTGTTTGTTTTTGTTTACATTGTTGATAGGTGTGAAATTTGCCATAAATGGGAATGTTGCTTTTTCTCTCTCTCTTTGCATTGCAGCACAGTAGGCAATTTGATAACTTTGTTTATTATTTAATATATTTTATGAATGAAAACATAATTTCTCAGTTAAAAAAAAAATGACACCGACACACACCTGCCGTATGTGAATATAAATCTCTGTGTGTGTGTGAGTTTGCTGTTTTGGGGGAGAGTCAATTGCCTGTCAAACTGCATGTTCTGTTCAGAGCTGCTCTTTTCATTGTTTGTTTTGCATGTATGTTTTAGTGGAGATAGCCAGCCCAGTGCCAGCTGCAGCTTTAAATACGAAGTGTATTGAAAATGTTCCGACTGGAATACTGGGTGAACTGGGTTGGCAAACAGCAGCAGCAGTACATGAACATGAAAAGGGAATGCATGCAAAGTCAATGGACGTTAAAGTACATGACCAAGAATGTGTGTGGAGAATACGAAAAACAACAAAATAAAGAGCTGCACTTGTTGTTGTTGTGTAGTTTGTATATTATTATTTTGGGTACACTGAGGAAATAAGTAACCATTTTTTTTCTAAATTTTTTTTCAGGAAAATCGAAATAAAAAAGGAGTCTTGGAGACAAAATGGACACTGGTGGAGAGATGGTGAAATTAAAAACAAAAAGAGATGTCTCGAAAAAATGATATTCAGCAACATTTATGGAATTTATAGAAGCCCATAAGGTTTTTTAAAGCCCAAAAGGTCTCCTTAAAGATGGCCAAATTAACTGCTTAAAAAACACCGAATGTTATTCTTATAGAGGAACATAGTTTGGTTAATTCCCAATTGAGGCCGATTTGAGAAACATTACTGCATTTTAGAGGGTTGGTGTCAATGGAAGATTTATTCTACACGATTTTTTACTATAGTTCTCCGACTAACAGAAATCGGTACCGATAATATATAACAATAGATTATCAATCCAAATTTGGCTATAAAAAACTATGAACTGCAATGTTGGACAACTTAGGTATTAAAACCAGTTCTGCCCAATTTTACCAGCAATTCTTAATTTTAGAAGGTTGGTGTCGATGGAGAAAATATTCTGCATCAAATTCCACTATTGGTCACCGACCAACAGAGATCGGTAGCTATAATATATACCAATAAAATATGCATTCCAAATTGAGTATAAAAGCTATAACCTGTAAATTTGGGTATTATTTCCCATTTAGACCAATTTTACCACCAATTCTTCACTTTAGAAGGTTGGTGTCAATGGACGAAATATTCTTCATCAAATTTTACTATAGATCATCGACCAATAGAAATCTGTAGCTATAATATATACCAATAAAATATGCATACCAAATTGGGTATAAAAATTATAACCTGTACTATTTGATCAATTGGGTATTATTTCCCATTTAGACCAATTTTACCAATAACTCTTCGTTTTAGAAGGTTGGTGTCAATGGAGGAAATATTCTCCATCAAATTTCACTATAGATCATCGACCAATAGAAATATGTATAATAGGTATTAATAAAATATCAATCCCAAATTGGGTATAAAACCTATAACCTGTACT